ATAAGATTTTGAGGCATCAGCTGCTTAAACATATCTTTTTGGTTTATTTGTTTGATCTTGATGTCTTATTTGTTAATTACCATTATATAATTATTTTTAAACAGCCCCTTTACAATAAATACTGGTGATCAGTAATTACCCCAGAAGTGATCAGGAATTACCCCAGAAATGATCAAGACCAGGCGTAATTCCTGATCACTGAAAATTTAAAATCTTTTAAATTCTAATTAGATTTTCAAACAAAAGAAGGTGACATTGGACTCATCTCATATAGCCTCAAACTTCCAGTAAATATTAAAATTCTATTTTGAATAGTTTTTTCATAAAATAGATGTTTGCATTTTTTGATCAGGAATTACCCCAGGTCACCCTAATTATTGCCTTCATTTTGTTTCTTGTTTTTATTTTTTCCACTACATATTTCTTTTAAAAAAAATTGACATAATTTGAATAAAACGGTTTTGGACAGTTTTAGACAAAAGGGTTTTGGACAGAACAATTCAAACCAAGGATTAATCCATTCTGTCTTAAACCTTGNTTTTTTTATTTGTCGGATTTTGATTGTTTTTAATATTTGAAACTGCGCCTAGTTGTATTCGTATTTACGCTTTTCAAAAATCTGCTTTTGCTATTTGCATCATCATCTCTCTAAATCCAATATCGCGATTCACATTCACAGGATTTTAAAACCCAATAATGAGCATTGGCCAACAATTCGTCCCATTATTTTAAAATTACTTCATCAAGAGGATGTGACTCGTGCTGAATGGCAAGACTTATTTTGGTAGGAAAATTTCAATGGTTTTTTTAATTGTTTATTACAGTTGACTTGTATTTTTATTATACAGTTGACTTATCTTGTCGCTGGCCGACCTATTTGTATTCACAGTATCTAAAAATCATGATTCGTATTTACTCTTTTCAAAAATCTGCTATTGCTATTTGCATCATCACCTCTCTAAATCCAATATCGCGATTCACATTCACACGATTTTAAAACCCAATATCGTAGTTTTTGATTCCGCGTTCTTAAAATCCGATATCCTGATTCTTGTAAGAACTAAATTGTTTCTTAAATTTGTTGCCATAAAAGGGTGCTTTATTGAAAAGTTATTTAATTATAAATCTTAGTTCAAAAAATTATATTAAATTTGAATAGTATATAAATTGATATCTTGTTATCGAATTTTTGCTCATAAAATTTTCAGGGTTTTTCACTTCATGTCACAATCAGCCTTGTTTATCAGTTATGATGATTTGCTACTGGACAAAATCGCTTACTGGTTAGCATTATTTAGTTTTGGATAAACTCATTCCTTTCGCAGCGCTGGAAGTAACTAAAAGTAACCAATACAATTGTTTAGCAATAACTTTAATATAGTACAAGATGTCAGAGCTCATTCTAGGCAGAAAAAAGGGCAGGGTGCAGAAGTTTAAAAAAAGGGCATTATTATTCTAAAAAGGCAATAATTCCTTTCTATGGGCTTTACACGTTCTATTAAAAGACATTGTCAATTAGTAAAAGAATTTTTTTTTTTACTTTACTAAAAGTAGCAAAGCGGTAGCGCTTCGCGCTGNGGCTTTACACATTCTATTAAAAAACATTTTCAATTAGTAAAAGAATTTTTTTTTTTTACTTTACTAAAAGTAGCAAAGCAATCATATTAATTACTAATTTTTAATAATAAATTAAAATATTGAGTTAATGAGCTTAGTAATTTATTTAAAATGCATGCATATATTAATAAAATAATAAATGTATTTTTTTAAGTGTCTGTAGTTATGATTTACTAATTAAAAATGATTAATAATCATGATTTAATGATAGTGGAAGTAACTGCAAACTTTCAAAGAGAAGTGCAACAAGGGGGTGTGATGGCTATTTTTCCTTTCCCATATAAATCTAGGTATTGACAGCAATGACAAATAAAAAAAAAAAGAGAGAGTTGAAAATAGCAAAAGTTTAAGAAATCCATTGTAGAGTTTAGGGGGAAAATAAAGAAGGGTTGAGGAAAGAAAGGGCAAAAAGGGTATGGAGTATTTTATATCAGGGCACTAATTTACTTCAGGGGCAACAGGGTGGATTCTTTTGACTAAAAGGGCAGCAGGGTGCTGCACCCTGTTTACTAGCCTAGAATGAGCTGTGCAAGATGTTTAGTTAAAAGTTTTTTACTTTAAAAAAAAAAGTTTTTTTTATAAAAACAACTCATTTTATTTTCCAAATTTAAATTATCTATGAATTTGTTTAAGTATTCATAAACAGAATTTAGAATTTGTGTATAAAAATAATTGTATGCTATTTGTAGTTATTTTAATATTTGGTATTTCTTTATGGGAAAAAAATATATTTCTGTATGAAATTTTTTTTATGGTAGTTTTTTCCATGGTTTTAGTGCAGTTTTTTCAATTTAGGGAGAAACTTGCCACTCCTATTTTTAATTAAACCTTTCCTCCTGTTATATTAAATACCAGGATACTATTGTTTCAGGAGCAGCTTATATTGAACTAATTATATAGTTTGCCTAACTATATTTAACTTGTTCATTGATTGCTGTGTGTTTTATTTCAGGCTTGTCCACACAGTTTGTCTCTGGGATGATAAAGGACCCCCTAAAGTTTACAGCCATCTCCAAGATAATATTCTGGACTTCATTCGTCAAGCTCAATCTGTATGTCTTCCTCTTTTTTTTTTTCACTCAACACGTAGGATATCCCGGCCTTTTAACCAAATATTCATATAAAAAATAACTAACACGAGACATTTTTTGAAGCTTGTGTCAGTTTTAGTCAGTCGATTGTCAAACATACTGAAATTAAAATTTCAAAATATTGTAATATAATAGAGGTATCAAACAATTTAAATTTTTTAACTTCTCTACTTTCTTTTTTTCTTTCTTTAAGTTTCTTTTAAGAGAAGGTACCTTGAGTCTATTAACCCCCTGTACCGGATTTATTTTTTTAAATATTAATGTAAAAAAAGAAGAAAAAGAATTCGAACAGAATATTTTTATCAAGCATAATATTTAAAAATTATAAATGGTGAGAAGTAATTTGTCTTGTAAGATCAAACTATACAGATAATTTTCTTATGAGATATAAAATATAAATTTAGAAATAAACATACTAATTCCGAACTACCCAACACACTACAAAAGACATATAGTTTGTCTAAAATAAGAACTCCCCCAGACGTTCGTCTGGACTATTTCAAGTGAAGGAGCAGGGTCAATGTTTCAAACAAACATCAACAAACCATCGCTAACAAACATCATATATCAACTTACAAAAGTTTTGCATAATGTTCTGTCTTAGACTTCCAAACTTTCCCTTTAAGCATAATTCATGGACTTCTGATTTGTAAGCATTAATTTCACTCATCCTCAACTTTTGGGATATTCTTAAAAATTGATCTATTCTCTAAAAGTTTTATCAGTTATTAATTTACTATAAATATTAAAAGTTACAGAAAAAATACTACCACTATCTAGGTTTTTTTGAGAGGTACCTAGTTTGTGAAAATTCAGACATAGCTTGTGAAAATTAAAAATTATATTAAAAAATGAACACAAAAAATATGGTAAAATAAGACAATGTTTTCAAAAGTTGTCACTGCAAATAAAAGTAATTTATGACTGGTGAATTTCTGTATATTTTTCCTCTGATATTCAGAAACAATTTTGTAAAATTTTTGCCATAAAATTGTATCCAAATGTGGAAATTATCGTCCATAGTTAAAGTTCAACTTTAATAAAAACACGCATTTAGCAGTACTACCACTAAAAGTTATTTTCATTATGAGAACATTTTCGACTAAGTCATACAGAGAGAAAAAAATTCCATAGAGTAAGAAATGTTTCATAAAAAATAAAGGTCTGTTAGAAAAAATTTACAATAGTGCTTAAGATTATGTTCGAATGTTTAGAATTATGTTTGAATTTTGACTTCCTGTACAGCTTATAGAGGGAGAGACTGGTCATTGTAATTTTTTTTAAAAAAAAACTTGCTTTGATATTGCGTAAACGACCTGGTAGGCTTACCACATTGCACTATCTGACAAAACTCGTGTTACCTTTTCTTATAAGACAGCTGGCGGAAAAGCCCCTCTTTTCCATAGGTTGCAATGAGAAAGGGGTTGGCATGAGAACTTGCTTTTTTAAAAGTATTTTGTGGAACTACCGTTTTTCCTCAAGTTGAATTCGCGAAGGTACTGCTAAATTCTAGTATTATAAAAAATGTATAGATCTTAGAAATGAAACTAAATTATTACAGAAATTGTAGTAAATAATAGCGACAAACCTGCAACCCTAATCATATGTGTTATTTCTTGTTAGAATGTCTTAGCTCACCAGGAAGATCAAGCTCTACTGAAAGCTTATATTGCTGAATGGCGAAAGTTCTTCACTCAGTGTAACTATCTGCCAATGCCATTTGGTCAGTTAGAAACAACTTTGGCAGGAAAATCTGCTTCCATACAAAAAAAGGCAAGAAGTGAAGAAAGTGCTGTTCGTAAAGTATGTTTAAAAAGAGAATTTATTGATTTTTGTGATTAGAATTAATTGAATATTTTTAATAAATTTAATTCACGCTTTTTAATTTCACTCATATTATCATGTCTAACAGGCAGGGTTGCCACTCCACAGGGAAAACCTGGAAAATACAGGGAATTTAACAATCACTTGAAATAACAGAGAAAATGCTGTGAATTTTTATTCTTTCTTTACGAACTGGGAAATTGCAAGGAATTTTGTTTCTTATTTTCGTCTTATAAATAATGTGACCACTCAAAGCGTAATCTATGGGATGTTTAACCATGATATTTCAGCTATACTAAAGCACTATTTAAGTATGTTTAGCTGTTCCTTTTTCTTTCTCTGAGTTTTTCAAGTATGTTAAAACTACCAAATATAGTTGGCCCACTATAGCTCACACAAGAGCACAGTAATTGTTGTTTCCTTTTAATGTATTGTGTATAATATATACATGGAAAACACAGGGAACTTTTTTTTCTTTCCAGATTTGAGTGGCAACCCTAAAAGGGAATAATGGGATAAATATTTATTGGAATGTTATTAAAGCGGGCTTTCGGAATTGGGTGTTTCGCGTTAGGTCAGTGTCAATGGTGATTAGTAAGAGTTTAATGTGCTCAGTTTCTGCAGTGTTAAAAAAATTGTTTTTTTTTTTTTGGTGTTTTAATATGTAATGTATTTCCATAAAGTGAAAGTTTCAAGAACATATTAAAAAAATATTGGTCAATTTTTTAGAATATAATGAAGATTACTTGTTTAAAACTGATAAAATAATTTGAGAAAAATATTCAAAAATGTGTAATATTTTAATAATTGCAGTAATGTCAGAAAAAAAAAATTTGGCAAACTACTTTGTCATTAACACCTAGTTTGTTTGGGTAGGGCAGGTGGGTGGGTAAACAGCCTTGCACTTAACTCTCTTTCTTCTACCCTTCTATTTCAGGTGTTAGGAAGTTCTGCAGTTAAAACTATGCCTTAACTTTTACAAATAATAAATAAAATAAAAAATTTTTAGAAAATTAACTTAATTCTGCTTTGATTTTTAAAGATATCAACACTTCTTTTGGATCAAAATTTCCAATTATTTATCAATTTTACTTACTTGTTTTAACATTCGCCGTGAGAATATTATGATTTGTGATTTAGTCTTCTTCCTCTCATAGCCTAAAAACTTGAGATAAAAAAATATGAAATTTTGAACAATTTTAGAGAAATATTGCAACAAATTCCTGATATGAAAATGTTATTGATGTGAGACCTTAATTAATGATTTATTTTATGCAAAAGTTTCAAAACAAAATTATCTCTTTAAAACTATAAGCAGTGCAAAACAAAGCCACATATTCTTATTATTGAGCGTGGCCATTATACCGCATGCCTTTTTATCTACGCAAAAAAAAAGGTACACAGTCAGTTACGGGGGTGCAATGAGCAATGGATAGAACTGCCTTCTCATTGAAACTACCTGTAATAATAAGTGTAAAAACATCTAAATAAGACAACTCTGAAACAGCGTTTTATTGACAGGCCAGGGAACTTTGAAGACAATAATTTTGGCCAATTCTCTTTTGGCATCTTTTTTATTGTATTTTTGCTAGTTTTTTGTATGACTATTTGTATATTTGCCTTACCATTTAAAATATTTAAAAAAATGTATGGCTAAAGATGTTAGCATATGTAGTAGTATGAAGAAATTTCAGTGACCAAAAAGAATGTGATTCCAAACATTGCAGTATAATAATATTAAATCAAAAAAAGGTTGGCTCAGAATTGAATTCAACAATATAAAGAATATACTCTCTAGTCTTAAATGATCGCTGACTGGCATGTGGAAATTTCCCTCTGTATTAAGCAGTTTGTTAAAGCCTACTTGCAGTTTGAACAATCATTTATTATAAACTAAATATGAAGATGACAAAGGATTGTTTAAGTAGAAAAACAGATATGTGCCGAAGCTCTGAGTTCCTAGAACTCTCCACGCATTTAACTGCAGCATACATTATACAGGGTTGTTACTCCACAGGGAAAACCTGGAAAATACTGGGAATTTAAAAATCACCTAAATTAACAGGAAAAATACAGAGAATTTTATTTCTTATTTCCGTCTTTTAAAAAATGGTAACGACTCAAAGTGCAATCTATGGGACATTTATGGATGATATTTCAGCCATATTAAACCAGTTAATTTACTATAGCATTATTTATTTTATGTATATTCAGCTGTTCCATTTTTCTCCAAGTTTTTTCAGCAATTATAACTGTTATAGTTGACCCAATGCAACGCATGCAAGAGCACAGTGATTGTGTTTTTCCTCTTAATATAGTGTGTATAATATGTGCAGGGGAAACACCAGGAATTTTTTGTTTTCTAGATTTGAGTGAAAACTCTGTACGCACCCACCTGCTGACATCAAAACTTTGATAATTCTATTCATTTAAGTACTCTACCTATGATTTGGTCCTCTACCTGTTAGTTCGTTCGTAAAAATTTGCTTGAAAATGCTAAAATATTTTTATATTTAACTGTAAAAAATAAAAAGTTTCGAAGAGAAGTTATTTGTTATTTTTTTTGTATATATACAGTCCCTAGTCATGTTATTAGACACACTATAACAGGGTGCGTAGCGTTTGTAAAAAGTACTTAAAGGTGCTTTTTTGGGGATTTCGTTTTTAAAAGCTTTTAAAGGTGCTTTTTTCAGCTGGCGTTTTTAAAAGTGCTTTTTTCTCTCCCTTCAGTGATATCTGGTGGATCCCATGCATCACGAAAAATGGGGAGTTTGCTACATAATCATTCACGCGGATTTCATGTCGTACCCACGTTATGACTTGCGCATACGCGCACCCTTGAAACCGAAACCCGAGTGCTCCAATTCGGATAGAGAATATCAGATCCTTATGAAATGTTTTTCTTTTTAATTTATTTTAATTTTGTTCTTGTTTATTTCATTTTACTTCTAACACTTTTTTTGACGTAGGGTGTAAGGGTACTTTTGTTCTGAGTCAGGGTTGAATTAACTCGGTGATGTGGGAAAGTACTGATTGTTCCGATTTACGCCCGTTTCTTTTTGGGTTTTTTAAACGCTAAAACTGTTTATAAAAAGTTTTTTTTTTTTCAATAATATCATTGATTGAATATGAATTTTTTGAGTGCTTGAAAATTTTTGTAAAGTGCTTGAAAAGTTTTTAAAAAGTGCTTATTTTTGATTCAAAGATTTGGCTACGCACCCTGTATAAGATTCTATGTAAAATCTTAATTATCAGGTGATACTATACAGCATTATTGTTTTTACGAGGCTGATACCGGTTTGTACTCGTTTATGTTCGTGTATCAATTAGTTAACATTGTAATGCGATACGTTAAAAAGTATATAAAAAATCTTCTAAATAAAAACCCATTACATGTGGGTTTAAATATAAAAGTATGGCATATAAACTCGGGCAAAATGTGTAATTATTAAAAGAAAACTACAGTGCGTCTAAAAATTTGGTCTAATTATTATATTATACTAATATAATACCTGATATAAAAAGTATTCCTTATTTATCTAATATATCGTCTAATTTTACCCATTGATGCACGAACGTAAACAAGTGCAAGCAGTCGTATGAAAGCAATAAAGCTGTTTAGTATCACTTGATAATTAAAATCTTACATAGAATCTTATAGTGTGTCTAATATTTTTGCAAGGGGCTGCAAAATGTGTGTTTGTAGTACAGTTAAATAATTCTCTTTTATTTTCAGCTAATGCTTGACAGTTGGAATCAGAGTATATTTTCCAACATAAAGCATAGACTGCAAAATAGTGCGATGAAGCTTGTACATGCGGAACGGAATGGGGAAGCCTTTGACTCCCAACTAGTAATTGGTGTTAGAGAGTCTTATGGTAAGTATATTGTTATTCTGAATAAGAGTTTTGCTTTCATCAGAACCAATAATATTCTCCAATTTGGTAACAGTTCAACATATTAACAGTTTAACTTCAATTTTATTTTTTGAAAATAAAAAAACTCTTTAAAAACAGTGTGTTTTTAATATACTTTCATAGGCAATGATTTTTCTGAACTTCTGCGAAATTTAAAAATATCGAACAAAACGCAGGGTTTTTAGATGACCTAAAAAAGTGATGGGAAATCTCAAATTTCTGAGTGCAGGATCATTTTTCTGTTCAAACATTTATGATTATAGTGTCGGGNGGGGGTTGTCATTCTCTCATACAATGTCTTTTTTTATGCATATCATTAAATATATATTAATATAGTTCATCTATGAAGCTATATTCAAATTTTGTTGTGTGAGAAATTTTATGGTAAATATGTTTATAAGTTTTTATTTCATCATTATTAGTTAAATCTCCATAAACTATAACGGGGCTGTTCGAGACCATTAAAAGCTGGCTCAGACTACCGTAACATAATCAAAAGTGATCCCCTAAACTAGTGTAAAATAAGATTAATTTAAAATAAGATTATTGTAAAATAAGATTAATCAAATGCAATATTCAAATGGGATTTGATAATGAAAGAATCTGAAACTGCTTATATGTATTCTATAAATCTATGACAAATATTGTGTACAAAATATACCGTTTTATATTTTCTAATGTTATTTTCATGAAAAAATCTTAACAGTCTTATGCTTGGAAATTTTATGTTTGTATGGAAATGTGGAGGGAAAAACATAGTGAAATTTGTGGCAGATCTGGAATTGATATTTGATTTAAGGTATAAATTAAAACTGTTAAAGAACCGCATTATGACAATCTTACATTAGGTGATTGTGAAATAGTCATATCATGGTGCGTAGTGGTTTTAAAAAGTGCTTAATTTTCCCTTTTCAAAAATGAGATTTTTTTCTTTACCATGTTCCCATGTATTGTGCAAAAGGGTGCTCTTCACATTGTTCTATTCAGCATTCATTATTCATTTAATAATCTATTTCAGCTTACCGCCGGTCCATAGCGTATGAAAGCGCCAATCATTTTTCATGTTTGCTGAAAAAATTTGCAAGTCTGCAGGTGCGTGGACTGAGCTGGGTTTGGTGATTGTTGCACTCTCGTGTGCAACGCTGTTACATTTTGCAAAATATTCTCAATTTCAGGTTTCCACCCTCTGATATCGAACCTAAAAACCTCCACATATTTTTATAATGGTTAATATAATCAAGAAAGTTTTTTTTTTTCGTCAGAAACTAGTTATTTTATTATGATCATGTTAAGCCTTTGAAAATTATTTTGCAGGGTATCCGCGCATCTGGAAAGTCATGGAAAATCATGAATTTTGGTATTGAGCAAAATTTGTCATGAAATGTCATGATTTTAAATATTTTTTAAAAAATCATGGAAAGTCATGGATTTAGGTCACCGAAAAATTTTATTTTTAAAATGGAATCCCCCCCCCCAATTTCATGGTGTTGCGAATATCTGAATTAGTAACAAAATCCTCACTCAGAGTCATATTTCATTAAAATATAAAAAGTTTTTATCATGTTCTTTAAAAATTATGGCATTCTTTCAAAAAAAGGAAAGAAAAAACATCATTTCTAGAGCGAAGTATCTTTAAAACTTCTATGATTTCAGAATTATTTTTATTTTATTAATTTAAAATTCTAGCTGAAGCAAGCCAGTCATTGGCAAGTTTTTTTTAATTCCGAAATGAGAACAGAAAAATTAGAAGTATCTTTAGAATATCATTCTGCAGGGGGGGGGGAATTATTTGCTCATCTATTTTATTGCTTCAACTCTTTCTTCACTTTTTTTTTTTTTAAATTTAAAATCAATAAATATGAAGATGCAGAGTATAACAGTTTTGGTTATACAGTAAGACCCCGCTTAACACATAGGATATGTTCCATCAAAGTAGAGCATGATGGGAAACAGTTAGGGGAAGAGGGATGGAAAATTGTTTAGGTATTATATTTAATAATTATGTTTTATTTAATGAAACTAAAACCAAACATTTATTTCTTACAAAAATAAAAACAGTATAAACGAATATATGTACTTATAAAAACAAATAAAATTCTGAGTCAGATCATTCAGTCTATTTTGTGTTTCGAATTTTCTACCTTTTTGTCAAGAAGGCATCTAATGTAGTTTGTGTTTTCCGTTTGCATTCTGTTAGAAGTTGTTGATAAGTGGATAAAGCATCTATAACACTCCGTCTTGCTTTTGAACTCCTGTCAAAATTTGGCTCATTTTCAACAAATTGATCCATAATTTCAGTTGTAGTGGTCAAACTCCTTTTTACAAACGGCATCGAAAGTTCTTTTTGCTCTTCTTCGAAATCACTACTATCAATATTTTTGTTTTCTTGCTCAGTTAATTCCTTGAGCTCATCATTAGAAAGAATAGCTGCTGTTTCTTGAACTATTTCTTCTACGTCTTCCACATTTACCTCATCTAAGCCGGTTTGTTTTGCTGATTCCACTATTTCATCCATATCGACAGAGTGTCCGATGTCTTCGCTCTTTCTTAAATCTGGCCAAATGCTCTTCCATATTCCTTTCAAAGATCTTTCTGTTATCTCATTCCAAGAAAGGTTTATATTTTCTACAGCATTCGTGATATTGTGGTTTTTCCAAAATTCTCTTATTGATTGCTTCTCTTCTCTGCCTATTTTGTCAAACATCTGCTTTAATGTTCTTCGCAAGTAATAAGCCTTAAAATTGGATATAATGCCTTGGTCCATTGGTTGGATTAAGGCAGTTGTGTTAAAGGGCAAGAAAAAAAAACACTTTGACTGGAATGCATATTAAGTCTGATAAATTTGTTGGGTGGCTTGGAGCATTATCAATTAATAGTAGTGCTCTTTGTTCAAGTTTTTTAATTTCGCAATAACGTTTAACAGACAGGCAGAAATGTTCAGTGAACTAATCCTGGAAAATGTTCATAGTTATCTATGATTTTTTATTAGACTCCCAAATTACAGGTAAAATTGATTTAGATATGCCTTTCATTACTCTTGGTTTTTTGGAGTGGTAAACTAGTAGTGGTTTTAATTGGAAATCTCCGTTTGCGTTACCACCCAGTAGAAGTGTTCAGCAATCTTTTGCGGCTTTAAATCCTGGTGCTCGTTTCTCTTCACAGGATAGCAATGTTCGTTTTGGCATGCTTTTCCAAAACAGGCCTATTTCAGCAACATTAAAAACCAATTCTGGAGGATAGTTTCCTTGTTCAATTATTGTTTTTAATGTCGCTGGGAATTCAGCCGCCGCTTTTGTTTCACCACTTGCTGCTTCTCCTGTAATCTTCATATTGTGAAGATTATTTCGATGCTTAAATCTATTAAACCATCCTCGATTAGCAACGAAAGTTTCAGTAATGTCACTTGCCTCAACCTGAATATAATTAAAAATTCTTCTAGCTTTTTGGCTTATTAACTTAATGGCATATTGCTTTCAATTTCGTGGTAGTTGCAGTTGCTGATGACAGTATTTTTTCTTTATTCTTAAGAATTGTTGAAGTTGCCAAATTCAATGCAGCACTAATTTGAGATTGACGTTCACCAGAATCTTATCTTCTAATCACTTGCATTTTAGTTTCCAGTGAAATGCTTTTTCTGGTTGCTTTCTTTTCTTGTTTTTCATTATCACCCATGATAAAAACTAAAGATCATAATATTTGTCACTGTATTAATCGTTATAGTATTATATAAATTTATATGTACTTACAATAATTTCAACAATTGTTTCAAATGATAAAAATGCATCCGTACAGCACCGCACCAAACAAGAAACACAACTACACTGTTTCGGATATGTTATGTACATATTTGGTGGAGTCCCCACCCACAATATCGGGAAATCCCCGGGTTGAAATAAAGGAACGCTAGGCCGAAACAGCGTTAAGTTCTATCATTTCACTTACTGTTCCTATCATTTCAATTAATGTTATTATAATGCTTTATAAATTTATTGTTCTGTTTTTGTCGGAGAAAATAGTAACTTCGTTAAGTCATGAAATTGAAAATCTAAAATGTAGCAGATACCCTGATTTTGTTAATGTATAAAGCACTTAAAAAGTACTTAAAAAGTGCTTATTCTTTGTTGAAAGATTTGGCTACGCACCTTGTCATATAGATTGTAAATGCATCACTTCTGTCAGTGCAGTTTCATACACAACATTCTGTCCGGAATGTCTGTGTATGAAAAGAGGATTGTTTCTGAAAGACTATGATGTTATCACTAATTTTGCATTAATTGTAAGCTGTATTTTCTTTATGAAATTTTATTTTGATGAAAGGAAAACTATTCCCTTTATACACGCCAAAAGAACTTACTAAATAATAAGCTCTAAAGAAATTAAGATTTCAAAAGAAAAAAAATTGAGAGAGAAATTTATTTAAAATTTTTATTAAATGATTTCTGCTCAATCTAGCTCTTATTATAGATATATTAAGGGTTATTTCGTTATTATAGATATATTAAGGGTTATATTTCTATATATTAAGGGTTAAAAAATCCAAATTTCTGACAATGTTGGTTTATTAACTCTTCCCTGATTAAAATTTCAATTCAGAACTTCTGTATTATTTTTCGTTTCATAATTTATTAATGAAATTTAAAAAAAAACTGTTTATTAGTCACTTATGGCCAGTTAAGAATAGTGCTTCTAGTTCTATCTACTTTGAAATAAATGTTTTAATTGTTTGTATTTTCAGTCAATTTGTGTTCAAATCCTGAGGATAAACTGCAGATTTATCGAGAGAACTTTGAACAAGCATACATTGATGCGACTGAGGCGTTTTATCGTGAAAAAGCACCTGAATATTTGGAATCAAACGGTGTACAGAATTACATGAGGTATGCAGACCAAAAACTGAAAGAAGAAGAACAGCGTGCTGCTAAATATCTGGAATCCTACTCTGGATCTATACAAGCCGTATGTGTTAAACTTCTTCTTGTTAATTCCTAGTAATTAATGAAGATATAAAGTAAAATCTTTCATATCTGACTGGGTGAAACTGTCATGCTTTTGTATTGCAAAGTAGAAAATAAGGTTTAGATAATAATTGAAACTAAAAAGTTCAAAAATTGTAGATCAATTTTAAGTCTCTTAACTTGAACTTGTCTTGCAATGTTTTGGACACAACTATGTTACAACTCTTGTTTTTTAACGGAGACTCCTGTATTTTACCATTAGCTCCTGTTTACCCATATATTCTCAAATTTCTCTGTATTTGTAGAAAAAATTAAGAAATGAAATAGGCAGGAAAATATCCTCTGATGACAAAAATACTTCTCTTATTCCTCAACAGATAGTACTATTGCCGGTACTGCAGTATGTTGAGTGTTAATAGTTTAAGTACCCCTTGCAGTCAGGCTAATCTTGTTCAGGATTGTTCACATCCTTCTCCCAAAAATAGCGAAATAGTATCGTCGGATACCATGTGATGAAGGCAGAGCCAAGTGCCAACTCCTGGTGAACAAACTATGACTGTAAACCCAAATTGGGCCATCTGTTTAACAGCGGTTATAAAATAATTTAAGTGATTATTAAATAATAGTTTGAAAAATCTTCTTTAGATTAAGATTTATGTACATATTTTTTACTAAATGTAAGGGCTTATATCATTTCCAATTTTGAATTTTTCTTTTTGACTTTCTCTTTTTTTTATGCATAATATGTTAAAAGACTTTACTCATAGCCTAAAGAATGTCGCTAGTAAAATCTCCGTTATTTTATTTATATAATGTTGGTAGGTATGGCTTTCCACTCAGAAACTGCTTTACATGTTCCGTTAATCTTCTGTTCTGTAAAGCTAGATTTTGTGAGATATCTAAAAATTATAAAAGAACATGAATAGGCTTTAAGAAATTTATTTCATTAATTGTTATACCATCATCACATTAAAATACTTCATGTCTTTTTTTTCTCATCAGGTTGTTTTTACCTATTTTATTTATCTAATTCGGTATTAAAGTTATCCAATCAAACTCAGAACTAATGAGGTTTAGTTTGTTTAAATTTTAAGTGAAAACATACTGCAGTAAAACCTTATTAAGTCGTCACTCAAGGGACCGAACATTTTCGACAACTTAAGCGGATTTAGAAATTTCTTTAAAAAATAAAAAAAAAAACACCGAAGTTTTTAATGAACTGCAGTAGGATTCGTTGAGAAAAATTAGATTTTTAGAATGTAATTCACATGCAAATAAATGTGTAGAAAAGGAATACAAATACTTTTGTATAATTACCACTTTTTCTTTTATTTCTGAGCATTCAAATAGCTTAACATAGTGGATTGATGCAGGATTTGTTGATTGCTATTAACCTTCTTTTCCAATATCATCAGCGCCTTGAATTCTTCCTCTGTTGTGCCTTCAATTGATGTTAAATATTGTCTAACTTTCTCTAAGGCTTCTAATGTTTCATCTTGCTGGGCGGAATTCCACCCGAATTCTCATCACCTGGAACTGTGTTGTTTTTCATCTAAAAATTCTGAAGTTAAATCTTTTACAGTCGCTTGTGAACAAATAGCGATGACATTGTCAATATCGACAAATCCATTTACGTCATTGACACTGCAACCTTTTTCGTTAACGACTTGCAGCAAATTTTCTAAGGGCTCAGGGGCGACTTCTTCATAGAGGATATCTTCAGATTCTGCATTGGCTCCAAATTCAAATGCCAATTAAATGAATATTTAATTGGCTGAAGCAATTAAAAACAGTTTGCGAATAAACTGAGCTCCAACTTTTATGCACATAATTGATCACGTCTAAAACGGAAACTTCAAACTTTTCATTTTTATCCAATACTTTTATCAGGTCCTTTACTATAATTTTTTTTTGTACTTTCTTTTGAAGTCCCGAATTATCCCTTGATCTAATGTCTGAAGAAGTACCGTGACATTTGGAGGAAGGAAAACGATTTCAATAGCTTTTTAGCTTTCGGGCTGACTATGGGTTGTGCAATTAACAACAATAAGGGCAACTTTTCTCTTTTGGCACGAAAACTGGAAATCCAATTTACTAATCCGTTCCCAAATTGCTGTAGTCATCCATGCATTTGAATTTGCTTCATATTCAACTGGCAGAGATTTAACGTTTTTGAAACAACGTGGCCTTTTGCTCTTGCCTATCACTAGTGGTTTAAGCTTTTCATTTCCATTCATATTCGCTTCCAGCAAAAGTGTTAGATGTTGCTTGCTGGCTTTTCCAGTGGTGCATTTTTCGCCCTTAAACGGTAGAGTTTTATCAGGCAAAAGATGATAAAATAAGCCCGTTTTATCTAGATTAAAAACAGTTGAGGCATCAAACCTGGATAAAATGTCCTTGAGAACACTATTCCTCTAATTTTCTATAGCATCAACAGCTGCGGGCGGCTCCCCCACAAATCGTTTTAAAAGAAAGACAATTTCTGCCTTTGAAACGCTCCAGCCAACCATTGCTGCAATGGAAATCTTCTATGTTCAACTCCTTAGCAATTTCCATCGCCTTTTCTTTAAGAATGACAGAAGAAATAGGCACAATTTGCGATCTTGCATGCTTTAACCATCGAACTAAAATCTCCTCGATCTCGTCAAATTTTGATTTCCTCATTCTCTTTCTTTGCAGTCTGCTTCTTCAATGGTTTGCTTTGATGATAGAATATCACTTAAAGTAGTTCTCTGAATATTGTGTTCTTTGGCAAAAGCTGTTTTCGAAACATTTGACTTTTCAAAAAGTGCAATTAAGTTCTTTTTTTCTTTAAGAGATAACGAGGTAAGTTTTCGTTTTCATGGCATTTTGAAACATAATCAAATCACAACTTTGAAAGAAAAACATGGCCCTTATACCGGGGCTTACTATGAAAGTACGTCCTACTGAAGTACGTACAATAAAGAAAAACGACTACACTCGACTGAGTCAGAGCAGGAAGTGAGAACTTTGAACAATTGGCATGCAAAATTCCCAGAATCCAAATCCCCTAAAAGGAAAGGAATGCTCACAGCTATAGAGCAAACTTCGTGGGTGGTCAGAAATTCTCCGAGATACTTAAAGTGAAAGGGGCAAGTCTGAAAAGATAACAGAATGGTATACAAAAGTGTAAAAAAAAGATAGGTTTGCCATTTTTTGGGGTGACGAGTTATCCGGAGTAGAATTAAATCCGATGATGGGTAAAAGAGGGTTATTTTACATTATTGTCAATGAGGCTTAGTCGGTACCATAGAAAAACGGCGACTTAATGAGGTTTTACTGTATAATTATTACACCTGCACTTGAATGTGTTAGGATCTCGATCTCATGTGTTCTGAAAGGGGTTCCTGTGTTTAGGAGGTGAGATTTTCCCTCTGAACCTTCTGAGCGATACTCAAGGTGAGAGAAACGAGATCCCTGTAGCGGATTTTTTTTTTCTGACTTTCTGCTGCATACCTCTCTAATGCTAACATCTTTCTGCTAGATACTTAAAAATAACAAATGTACATGTTACTAATTTAAAGTAACAGAAGCATTAACTTCTAAAAAAAAAATAATTTTTTGATTGAATGTTTTTTTAATTTTTTTTTTTTTTTAATTCTAATATTATGGGTGATATTCTCGCATTTTGTTTGAAGATAACACACTAACTTCCTTTTTTTTGCATTTTGTAATTCATCATCACATTAAAAAATTGCATTTTGTATTTAATGCATTTTGTAATTCATCATCACATTAGAAATTTGTAGCAGTAACTACCAAAAAAAAAAAAAGGTTAACAGAGAAATCACGCGGGTCAGACTCTTCAAGAAGGGGTTACTAAATGCATGTTTTAATTTCAAGGTTCAGTTTTTGTGATAAATAATATTGTATTAAAAAAATTGGATTTTAAAAGCTATGTTGAAATCAGTAGTAATAACTGTATGAAAAAATAGAATGAAAGAGACAGAAAAGAAAACCAAATTTTTTATTTCATTATTCTCAAATTGAAACAGAAAAACCACTAGCCTTTTTTTCCCACTCTGATGTGGGAGAAAGGCATCTTTTTAATATAAATCTGGAAAAAATATATAATCTTTCTAAAATTTCTGCAGAAAAGAAAAGTAATTTTTTTTATTTTACAAAGGAAAATTCTTTCTGCGAGACCTCAGTAACGTTCTGTGGCAATGATTCTCCCCCGGTGGGAGGAATAAAGATTGAAGAGACTAGAAAATCGATAAAAAATAGTGGAATTTGAAATTTTTTTCAAAAATACAGGATGTTTGCTTATTTTAAAGTTGGTTTAGAGGTTGCACAAATTTGCTACAGTAACAATTATATAATGTTTATTGCGCCATAGTAAAAACACTAAACTATTGTTAAATGTGGATTCTAAAATATAGTTAAAAAAAAAAAAAGACTTATTTTAAGAATAGTTATATCTGTTCTGTCTAATCTTGATTGTCATTAGTTGTAACTAAAGCAACGTGCATATTTTATCTGATGGAGTCTAGTAGAGCCTAATTCTTTGTAATATATTATAATTGAATACAATTCAGCTAACAAATGAAATATATTAAGTAATTTAATATATGTGATTCGTTAATTGTAAGAAATTTCAGTCCATGCCCTAAACTTGGTGTTGTTATCCAGTTTAATGTGTACTATGAGAAACACTTTAAAAAGTGAATGAATAATTAAAAAAAATACTGAGTAAACTGATTTTAATTATGTATTATGTTTTTAAAGCATGTAAAAATATACAAAAATAGTTGCTTTTGATTTAATTACTCAATGCTGTCATTTGCTTTGAATAAAAAATGAACTTCTTTTTTCAATTTTCTGAAAATTTTACTGTTACTGAATCTTTTCCATTTATTCTGAATATAAATTAGAATTTTCCTACAACTTAATTTGTATTTACCGATGCAAAAAATGAAATTTGTTAGCTCAAAACCTCTTGCAAAATTTAATTTTGTCTGTTATATAAAATATTTGATGAATACCACCCCTTTAATTATTGTTGTTTAAAGAAGATATTAAATTCTATCACGATTATTTTTCGTTGTTGTTGGTACAGAATATTGAGTACACTTTTTAGGAAGTGTGTTTGATTAGTTTATTTTCATTGCAGTTAAATGAATGCTGCGTCCAGTTTCTTGTTACCTGTTTTAAGGAGGTGATTCTTGCTGAATGCCCAACCATGATCAAAAATAATGAGACAGAAAGTAAGATGTTGCTTAAAATTTATCCTGTGTTATTTGTTGTTTTTAGAAGTTACATTATTGTGAATATCGTTGTTTGCACTTCTCAAAAGTTGAGAACAATAGTGTTCACTGCTGCCATTTTTACATTCTAATACTTGTCTTATATTCTTTACTACGAATTTAAATTTCTTTTTATTCAAAAATCAATTGCTTAACAACTTTTTTATTGTTGAATTTTCGGAAATCAGATTATCCTTATCCAAAGATTATTTTGAAGAACGGTTATTTTGAGAAATATGTATAACACATGCATGTATAACATGTGTACAACAAATAGAAGAGGAGCAAATGGATACAAAATAATCTCTAACTTAGATAAAAACTCAATTGTCGCTAAGAAATTATCCGTCAGACAGATTTTTGATGTGCACGAAAAAACACAAAACTTTCCTAGCAGCGAAATAACTTTGGAAATCATTGGGCGAATATTCACCAATCTTGGCTCAAAGAGGTTTTAAAGGGCCGATATAGAAATGCTCGATTCACCCGATATTTTATAGCCGCAATTCAGCCAAAGTTTAACCTCTTATAAAATTGTCAAATTCACCCGATATTTTATTTCCCTTATTTGCCCAATATCGGTCCCGTGCTGATTTGTTAAGTTCACCCGCTATTTTATAGCCATTATTCAACCTATGTTGGTTCAATATAGAAGTGCTCAACTCAACCAATGTTTTATAGCCGTTATTTATCTAATATAAACCCTACTTGAAATTGTCTAATTGTCCCAATATTTAATAGCCATTACTCAACCAATATAGGCCGTATATTTAATTGTAAGATTTACCCGATATTTTAAAGACATTATTCATGCAATGTAGACTCTATTTAAAATTCTCTGATTAATCCGATATTTTAAAGACGTTATTCATCCAATGTAAACCAGGGTTCGTGATTTTTTTATTTTAATCGGATTGTTTTGATTTAAATCAGATATTTTTTTTATTCAAATACACTGTAAGAAATTTAGTTTATGATAAAAAATAATTTATAAATGTTTAGTCAAAATTAAATTAACATTAAAACTATATTATAACAATATTTTAGGAGCTCTAACTTACTAAAATAATTTTTCGTTATAATACATAGTGTTGAATGCATGGCAACCATTTTGGAACAAATGCATGATTGAAATTATTAAGACTAGATGAAATAGAGAATTTAAGGAAATCTTCAGGGGTCTGTTTAGGTTTTTCTATTTTGTGAAAATTTAGACATAATTTGTGAAAATAAAAAATTATATTAAAAAATCAACACAAAAATATTGTAAAAATAAGGATTTATCGTTTCTTACGAGACACAAAAATAAAATTTAAAAAAAAAGTATTTTGTGAAATTATTCAACAGTTTTTCCTAAAGTTGAATTTGTGATGGAACCGCTAAACAGTTGTAAATTTGGCTTGGACAGACCCCTGTACTTTAACTATTAAAGCAAAGTTTCAATTAGCAAACCATAATTTTGATTTGAAATTGTGATTTCTTTTTTTTCCTCTTGATTTTTAAAATGACAAAATAAATGTAACAGATTGTGTTTGACTGTTTATAAATGTAGTCATTCATCAAAAAATAAATAAATATTTAATCTATATATTTTTATATTAAAATATTTATTTTTAGTCCTATGTAGATTTTAATTCCATGCTTTTTCAATCAAAAGGTAGAATTTTAATTAGCATTATTTGCATTTTTTTTAAAAATTCATGTTTATTAATTGCTTTCTACAGCTATGCAAGTCTATATTAAGACAGCATTAAATGTGTACTTCAATCTGTACACATTTAATGCTATCAATCAATCTCAAGAATCAATAGATTTTTAAAAATGTAATTTCAAATGTGTTGGAATTAAACGCGCATCAAGAAAGAAAGTAATTTCGTTAACTAAAACTAATTAATGTAACAATTTATTTGAAATAAATTTTAAAACTAAGAAAGGAAAATAATAAAATTATCAATAATTGAAACACTGTTTTTCAACTTTTAAAATCAATATATATAAAAAATCAGTTGATTTAAATCAATGATTTTTTTTTTTAAAAAATCATTTGATTTAAATCAACAAACCCTGATGTAGACCCTATTTAAAATTCTCCGATTAACCTGATATTGTCTGCAATAAGAAATTCTATTAGTTGTAAACGTTGAGAAGTTTGTGGTAAATAGCTTATACTCATGTGCAGTACATTTTGTTGGTCAAGTGTTCATCTATTTTCTCATATAATAATCCTTGTGATTTTCCTTAGAATTGCAATTGATGTTCAAGCTGATGGATAGAGTAGCTGATGGTATAACTCCCATGCTCAAAGACCTTGAGCATCATATCATCAATCAAGGCTTAGCCGACATGGTGGCATCTGCTGATATTATTACACAAGTGAGTTATTTTATTCCATTATATTTCCCTTGTAATACACTTTTTCCTAACTCACCCTAATATAGATTTGGAATGTGTTATGTCATCTTTTTAGTAACCTACCTTTTGTTTAACTCATTGAGTGTTAATTAAGGATCTATACAACTAAATTTGTTACTGTTCCTTTATTTCAATGATGTGCAGAATGCCCTGGGTACTGCAAATCGGTTTTTCTCCTATCTAAAAGATAGGAGAAAAAGAAAATCGATAAAATATGCTTAATATTTTATTCTTCGCTTTTTCTTTCTTTTTTTTTCATCTTTTCAAGTTAATAACTAATTTTTTTACCAACTCTGCACTTATTCATTGTTAATATAACAATTCATTGTAACCTTACATTTAATTTATGTTATACAATGAAAGTCCTGTAACCAATTAACCGCCAAACAGCATTTTTATTTTTCGGGCCTATATAAGTGAGGAGTTATATCGCCGCTGCCGATAATGCCTCAAAACCAATGATAACGGACAACATTGTCTTCGCCTCTTGCCGTTAACGTTCCGAAAATGCCATCTTATGGCCTTACGTTTACTGTGAGGAGTGTGCTTACTGGGCAGTTTTCGGTATTGAATAAATTTTGTCAACCAAAATTTCTAATTTTTAAAATTAAATTTTCTCCCCCCCAATTTCGCAGTGTTCTGATGTTCAGAATATCTGAATTTGTAGCAAAATCCTCACTCATAGTCATATTTTATTAAGATGTAAAAGGTTTTTATCGTGTTCTTTAAAAATTATGGTGTTCTTTCAAAAAATGAAAGAAAAGCATCATTTCTAGTGCTAATTATCTTTTAAACTTCCATGGTTTCAGAATTTTTTTATGTATTTATTCTTTATTTTTTTGTTTTATCAATTTAAAATTCTAGTTTAGGCTTTTTATATTACACTTACTTGTAAGAAATAAGCAGGTTTTAATAACTAAATATATCTTACTGTATTAAGTAATTTGCTTTTGAATTTTTTTTTATTTAAAGCTATTTTATTGTTTCAACTCTTTCCTTACTCTGTTTTTTAAGTTTAAAATCAATAAATATGAAGATGTAGAGTATAACTGTTTTGTTTATACCTATCATTTCAATTAATTTCTAACTTTCTTGAAATGTCAAAATTTCGTACAAGTCACGAAATTATAATTTTTAAAGAAGTCATAATTGCCCCCAATGAGTCTATTTAAAAAATGTTTTTATTTCATTTTAAGGTGAAGGATTGAACTCAAACTGTTCTGGTTGTCTTAACTTTCAAAAAAAAAAATAATAATAATAATCCAAACGATGGATTACTTTAAATTTAAGCCCAGAATATTGCTTTGATTCGTGTCATATAGTTTCTAATTTTTGAAACTTTTTGTGCTCTTTTTTGAATTTTGAAACTTATTTTTTCAAGAATTTCAAAAAAGGGCACTTGATTGATTTCTAAAGTTTTCTTATTGAAATTTATTGCTTTTTATTGCAATCTATATTTTATTTTGATGTGGTTATTTTAACTGTAACTTTATCTTTATTTATTTTTCCTATTTGTGTGCATCTCTTTATTATGTTTGTGTACTTAAGTCATTATTAAGACTTACTTTGTGATTGTTTGTCATAAATTTTTCTTTACATTTCAATTTTTCTAATTGCTTCTTCCTTTTTGATTTTACATTATGGGGCCTCGGGACACTGTCAGTTTTTGGTTTCACCACTGACAGCAGAAAGGCTCCTGTGTGTTAGCAGGCAGTGTGTCCCCTGATGAAGTGCTGTCCTGCTAATACACACATCTTAAGATTTTTATAATTTTCTTTTTTCAGCTGGAATTGTTTTTCTGACTTTATAAATTAAAGCTTTAAGCGCTTTTCTATTTTGATGTATTATTTTGAATATTACTTACTTATTTTGTCTTTTCGTGAATTTATAAATTAGTTTCATTCTTTGACTAAATATAAATCTGTCACTTATTTTGGTTTTAAAAAAATTATGTATTTTTATAGGATTCTGAAAAATATGTCGAACAACTTTTAGAGTTGTTTACAAAATTTAGCAAACTAGTCAAGGAAGCTTTTCATGATGACCCGAGATTCCTAACATCTAGAGATAAGGTAATATTTTTTGTAGTTTAACATTTCTTCTTTCTTTTGTAAATTACACGCACATAATAATAATAAATTATTATTTTAGGCTTTTAAACAAGTTGTTAACGATATTTCTGTATTCAAACTAGACCTACCTTCGAAACAAAAGGGGTAAGTGGCTTCATTCTCGCAAATATTATTTCTTATTAGAGTTAATATGGAAATAAAAGTTGATAAATGACAATTGAAAATCAAGGAGAAAGTATGGTTTATGTTCATTTTTCTGGAAAATGACTATTGAATTGCCATCTATGACATTTTGAGGATTATTTAGTTTGGACAGATCAATAATGTGAAAAATTTATATGCCCTGAGAGTTATAACGCAGTGAAAGTGTACTTTATTGGGAATAAATGGTTCCTGTTCTCATGCAATATTTGTTTTTTCTTGAAATCAGCTTTCAGTGACGTAAACAGTTTTTCCCTTTTGACCTTCAATTATGCACAGTCTCTGAACTGTCAGTAACTGAAAATTTGCTCATATGTTTTGTTTGAATTTTTATTTTTCCATTTTCACCCTTTTTTAGTGGTTGTATTGTGTTTTTAATTGTTGCACATTTTTCATACTTGTATGTATTATGTATGCAGATGAGGTAAGGGCTCAGGGAATTAAGAAAATCATTCAAAGAAAAAACATACCGCAGCAAAAACAAACATTTAAATAAGACGGAACCCGATGTAATTAAAGTAATTTTTGTTTAAATGAAATTAATATTTAAAATTGTATTATTGCTTCTATTTCAACTGCATTCATTAATTAAAATGAAAATAGTTCTAAACTACTACCTGTTAGCTATTTTATAAATTTACGAATACAGGATGTCATTATTAAAAGAACAGTTATAATAGTCAATTATAATAATCACCAAAAACGGTGCAAACAAAATGATCCGAAGATGTTTGTATTATTACACAAATGTTATATCTCATGTTGGGTGTCATTCGAGCATCGAAATCAGTTATTGTCGCTCATTAATATCCCACTATTCATTGCTCTATTGAATTGGGTTGAGTTGTTCATTACAAGAAGAAATTCCATACAAAATGCTCTTTGTAGTCAAACCCTCAAAGTTAACCAAATAAAGCTTTGGATGTTGGCATCTCTGGGTGTATAATATGGTTATAACCAAACCTTTTTAAAAAAAATTATTATTATATATGCAAATAAAAAAATTGTTGTTACATAGACAGGGTTGACACTCTAAAGGGAGAATAGGGAAAACCTAAAAAATACAGAAAATTTAAAAATTATCTACAATAACAAGGAAAATGCAGGGAATTTTCATTCTTTCTTTAGGAATTGGGAAAATACAGGGAATTTTAATTCTTATTTCTGTGTTGTAAAATATGGTAACCACTCAAAGAGTAATCTATGGGATATTTCAGAACGATATTTCAAATATAATAAACTAATTCGTTTACTATAGCAATGTTTTAAGTATGTTCAGCTGTTCTTTTTTTCTCCAAGTTTTTTCAGCAATTATAACTGTTATAGTTGGCCCGGTTCAACTCATACAAGAGCTCAGTAATTGTGTTTTTCTTCTTAATATCTTGTGTAATCTCTAATATATCTCTAGATTACTAAACTTTGCCAGTTTTTCCTGGTTTAATGAAAATTCTCCTAAAATTAAGTAAGTTTCCTAAAAACATCCCTTTTGAAATAGATTGTTACTTAAATAAGTATTACTAATACATAATGAAGTGAGCCTCATTTATAGAAATCAGTTTTTATTCAAAACTCCGTTTTAAATTAATTAAAAAAAACTTTCTTAACTCTATCTTTGATGAATTAAATGCCTTTTACTATTCAAAATTATGAGTATACATGATACTTAACAGTACCAGTATATTTAATGTCAATCATAACTGGAAATATTGCAGTTTTTCTATTTTGATTGCTATAAAATTCCCTAAAATTCCTTACGTGTAAAATATTTAGTACATTCTGCAACAATGATCATGAAATTTCTAATATTTCGTAAAATCTGCTGGATTTTTTTCCCATCTTATGCTGGCAGCTTAGCAAATAAAATACCGTAAAATTTGGATGACATAGTCTTTAATATAATTTTTATTAAATTAATTGTGATTATATTTTAAGAATTTGGATGTCTAATTAATCCACACACAAACAATCTGGGAAGTGCTGGACTGACCTCTTCTATCTTTCTAGGTATACAATTGATCGGTCTTTCTTAGTTTTAAAATTTTAAGTAATCTCTGTTTGGGAACTGCCAAAAATACCTGATTGAATCCTAGTTGTGATTATTCTAAGGAATTACTTGTTTTTTAATTAAATTTCGTAATTCTGCCAGATTTAATTTATAAATGTTCCAAAATTACTGCTACATGTTTAGAAATTCCACCCCAGGTAAACTTTTTCAAAATAAAATAAATCCTGATCTCTGATTTATTGAATTGTATAAATATCTCAGGGTTCCCATGGTCCGTAAAAGTGCTTAAAAACTGCTTGATTTTTATTTTGGAAAATAAGGGCCCTTAAGTACTTAATTTTGGTACAATGTTTTTAAAAGTCCTTAATTTTCCAGCATCATTATACTTGATTGGAACAATTTTTTCAGTCTTAGAAAAATATTTTTAAAAGACTGACATTATTTTATCACCTGAATGAAATCATGAATTGAGGGTAGAGCATTTCAGAGAGACAAACTTTTTTGCTTTTTCTTTTTGGCATAACTGAATGTATGATGCATGTCTAGCAGCGAAATATAAAAACTTTTTTTTATTAATTTTTTTTAATGTTTTTCCCAAATTTCTTTATTTTTTTATTATTTATTTATGAAAAAAATTTCAAATCTTTATTTCTGCACTTAATTTTGCAACTCAATTTCAATAAAATCGTTAAAGATGGAATACAAATTAGTTTCATAAATATTGTTAACATTTAACAATGAATAATAATATTTATTGGAAAAACTCAACCTGGGTTGACAAAAATTGCCTGGTCCTACTTTGGTGAATCTTCTTAATTAACATTATAATAAAAAAAACTTTTATTATTTTTTTTATTTATTTATTTTGTTTAAGAAAAGTATATAATTGGCACTGTCACTGGTGCTATATTCGATGATAAGGTCCTTAATTTTTTGAAAAAGTGCTTTAAAGGTCCTTAATTTTTTTCTTTGTTTAAAGAGTTGGAACTATGTATTTTTGCATGTAATTTTTAAAAAAGTTATCTTTTTCAGGGTGGGTAATAAAACTCAGCCGGAATCTCGTTGTCCTGAGCTTTTGGCAAACTACTGTGATATGCTGCTTAGGAAAACTCCTCTGAGCAGAAAACTCGCCTCTGATGAGATTGAGACTAAACTGAAAGAAGTGGTAAGTATTGTTCTCGTCTTAGCCATTTCTATTAAGTCGCAGAATCTTCATCCATACCCTCCAACTTATGAAATAATTTTGAAAATAATTCTTTCTAGTGGTAGCAAACCGAAGTAGAAATTTTTAAAGCAAATGGATCTCTCATAAAACTTTTATCAGAACTTAAGAATCTAGCTATATGGCCTGCACTTTTTTAAGTAATAGTGGACAAGTTATGCTAAAATTAATTTTTTTTAAATATTAAGACATTAATTTTGCTACCGTATGAAAAGAAGATTTCTGAAACTACGGAAATAGCAGTTGGAGGGTATGTTCATCAAATATAGAAAAATCCAATTTCATTATTTATTGACATTGTTGTTATTTTTATTTATTTATTTTTACTTGCCAGCAGCTTTTTATTTTTAATGCAGTACAGTAGTAGATTTGTCCAAAAAGCTCTTTATTCATTTGTTTCTTATTCAAATTGTTCCCTAATTGTTATCATTTTTTGCTGTTCTCTAGTATTATTTAAACAGATTAAAGTGTTATGCAACAGTTTGTTAAATCAAATGTTGCAATATTACAGGACAAAGCCGGGATAGTCTGGTTGGTAGGGCACTGGGCCAGCCAAAGACTCCCCGTGTAGTAAGGTGACTGGTGCATAATTTGTTGAGTCACAAAAGTCCTCCATGTTCCCATAACAAATCAATACCTCTGGGAGTACTGATTCAGGAGTTTCCTTGTCTTCTGGATTGGTTCAAAATTACAAGGGTATGGAGTTGAACATTAGTGGTCGTAAACCAAAATTTGTTCAGCGTAAACCAACTATTCAACGACGGATATAAAATAAAATTTTACAGGATATATTATTTTTAAAAAATAATTCTTTAAAAATAAACTTGTTTTGTAATGAGTTTATTACTCAAAATAACTTTTAAAAAAAGAATAGGTATAAAAAAAAGTGTGAGCAATTCTTATATATTTCTTTTAATTAATTTTTTTCTCTAAAAAAGGGGTTTTTTTTCTTTATCTCAACTAGGTACAGATACCCACTTGTTGTCAAAACACAGAATAAGACATTTTGTGTTTAAGAATGTGTTTCACTATAGTATAAAAATGTCTGTTTATATCACATTGTATTCATACACCATGTAAAGTAATGATCATCACAATCTGTTTGGATTATTGTGTACTTAATTTAGTTTATTTATGTGTGTTGCAGCTATTAGTATTAAAGTATGTACAGAATAAAGATGTCTTCATGAGGTACCACAAAGCTCACTTGACGAGGAGACTTATTCTCGAGTCTTCTGCCGACAGTGAAAAGGAAGAAAATATGGTAGAATGGTTACGGGTATGTTTATTGTTCTTTCTACTTTGGTGCTTTTATGTAGTACTCTCAAATGATATTGACTATTAACTTAAAGTACCCTCAATCTGATTCCTAAAAATATTTTTTTTCTTTCTGATTTTTCCACATACCTAAAAACTCTTAAGAAAAAAATTTCACATTAAAATTCTTCTAGTAAAAAAGCTTAAACTTTAAATTTGTTTAACTTAAAATATTTTCGAAAAAGTACTCTATTTTTTTTAGCTTTATTTGATTTTGCGGAAAATGAATATTTACTGCAAAAAGGAACAAAAATTATTTAGTTAAAAAAATAACTTTCATTCAAGGATTAGCTGAATGATTGCAGCATTCATTATCGAACATAATTTTCTGATCAGTTGTTCCTATCGTGCTGGGCTATATGTTTCCTGACTCAAAAGTTAGTGGTGAAAAAGAACATCAGCAATAGGCAATTACAGTCAATTTTTTTAAAAATCTTAATCCATTCAGAATCCCTTAAAAACTCCACAAAACATATTACTTTCTTAAAAAGGCTATTTATTAAATTATTTGAAGCAAAATAACCCTTGGTTTCGTTTTCACCTGAAATGGGGAGTCACATGATTATTCACGAACTGATGTCCCTAATGTCCTCTGCGATTCATTTACAATCGTTGTGCTGTGAAAGCCAATTTGTTCTTCAAGGCTCCCACTGGTGAGGGAGAACGGAGGAAACCTGGAATAGTCAGGAAATTTTATTTTTAATTCCAAAAATCAGAGAATAGCCGGGGAAAGTTGGAATTTTTTTACACAAACCTGGAATATTCCTGTATCATACGTGGAAAATAACCAGTCTTAAAATTGTCAGTAACAGTAATCAGTTATTGAGATTCAAGTTAAATGATTCGAACGTCTTTTACAATTATTTGTTTTGAAAATTTCACATTTTAGTCAAACTGAAATGTTCCCTTCCTTTAATAATATTTCTTTACCCAGAAAATCTAATATTTCACATCAAAAATAAAAGAATCAGAGTTTTCTGATGAAAGTAAGGTCTTAGTTTTCATTGAAATTTACCTGGTATAGCTTTTTTTCTGAAATTGAGTGTGAACCCTGGTTCTTGCTTTCGTTTGAATTTTCTTAATCCAACTATTTCAGGTAGTTAATAACTATCTGTATAATAAATTGTGGCTTAGTGAAATTTTGGGTTTAATATTGTTAAATTTCATTAAATTTAACATTAACATTATAAAAACTATTTTATAATGTTAAATTTCAATGGTACCCACTGAAACGCTATTAGTAGTTGGTAAAATTTTCTAATTCTGAATATTAAAGATTTTTTAGTTCAGTAAAAAAGGTGTTAGAATGAGTTATGTATGTCTGGTATTACTTATTAAAATTTTGCATTATAAATACCAAAAAAAAAAAAAAATTGGTTCTTTCATTATTTTTTTCAACCATATTAATCTTAAATTAAAGTGTATATCAATTCATTTTGAAGATTTATGTAGAATAGTTATGGATTTTAAAATGTAGAATAGCTTAAGCTATTGATGTTTTTTTTAATTTTTTATTATTATTTATTTATTCTAGCATGAATTCAAAGCATGTAATTGTCTTCAGCATAGCAGTAACCTTTTGAAAAACTTGGGATCCCAGCAAAACTTTTANAATGCACTTTGTATATATATATATATATATATATATATATATTCCAGTAGATTTAATTAACTTTATTTTAATTGTGTTAATCTATGTTATAAGAGTATTTGTAATCAAGCATATGCATTTATTTAGTTTTGCATTATAAAAACAGGAGTTAAATTTTATCAATACCTGTCATTATAAAACCAGGAATTAATATAATTCCTGGTTAAAGTTCAAAATGTTTAATTGTAACATTTTGCGTATGATTATTTTTGTTGCATTGAATCATTGCATTGATGCATTGTTTTGTTGCATAAAATCAACTTTAGAAATTTATTTGTTTTCTTCTTCATGGTGTTTTTGTTATTTTTTTGTATAGGACGTCGGAATGCCTGCTGATTATGTAAACAAATTAGCCAGAATGTTTCAAGACATTAAAGTAAGCGACGATCTAAATCAAAATTTCAAAGTAACTCACATGCATAAAGGGAGTTTAGCAGGTTAGTAAATATACATTTGTATTTAATTTTTTCTTTAAATCAATTTTAAAAAATCTCCCCTTAAAGTTTTCGCAGATTTTTGGTATTGTCATTACCCTGACTTTTAGTCTAGTGAAATTTTCCAATTAGATGTAATATTTATGTAGTTCTAGTTTTTTTCCTAGCATATTTCCTCACATATTTTCTTAACCTATTTTGGTTAATTTTAGATAATAATTTTTTTTTGTTATTTATTATAATAATAGGGATGAAAAAAAATTTCAGTTATGTGGTGTACAATTGTTTAAATAATTTTTAACTGGATAATTTAAATGATGAAATCTTACCTGCCAAGTCTGCCGTATATTCTCATATTTTTCCGTATTTGTTGAAGAAATTTAAAGAAAAAAAAATTGTGGTAAAATATTCACTAATGGCAAAAATATTTCTCTTATTCCACAACGGATGGTGGTATTACCAGTACTGCAGTATCTTGAGTGTTAATAGTTTAGATCGAGTTGTGATGGCTCAGGGGATCAGATTATGATTTATATACATATTTTTTTATAAATGTAAGTGCTTATATTATTAAAAATTTTGAAATTCTCTTTTTGACTTACATGATTATGCATGATGTATCAAAACTTTACTCGTTGCCTAAAAAATGCCACTAGTAAAAATCTCTGGGGTGTTTTTTTCCAATACTGGTTGGTATGAGAGGGAAAAAGCAAAATTAACATTAGGGGACTAAAGCTTTCCATAAATATTAATTGCCTAAAATATTAGCTTCTTATTTTCAAGATTGCACTCTCGCCCATTGGATCCAAATCTGAGTCAATAAAAAATGAAAGAGAAAAGAAAAATATTTATTTTACAAAAGAATGTTTTGTGCCCATTTTTGTAACTTAAAATATCATCTATTCAAACTTAGCATTAGCTTGAATCAGATCAAAAGTTATTGTCTCTCCCACTACAGAATAATTTATTTAAAGTATTGAACAGTTTAAATTTTTTTTTTTTTNTTAAAGTATTGAAAAATTTAAATTTTTTTTGTCCATTTAGATTCCATAAATATAAAGATTCTAAATGCTGGTGCCTGGGCAAGGGGCAGTGAGAGGGTTCAAGTATCATTGCCTCTTGAGTTAGAAGATTTTATTCCTGATTAGAAGATTTCTATCATCGAAAACTACAATGGTACCACCACATGTCTAATGGAGCGGTAATGTTTTTAATTGTTCTCTTGTATCGTGACACATCTTTTGTTCTTCTCATCTACTGTATTTTTCCAGTGTATCCTGGTCTACTGATTTAATTAATGTTCTCCTGGGTTTTGTACATTTTAGAAAATTCCCTAAAATTAAATAAGTTTCCTAAAAAAAAATCCATTGAAATAAAATTTTTGTACAAATTATTGCTTGCTTAAATATTTAAATAAGTATTAATACATAATAAAGTGAACTTCATTTATAGAAATCAGTTCTGAACTCTCTAATTTATTTTAAAAAATTCTTTTAACTATATTTGATGATTTAAATGTCTTTTAATATTCGAAATTATGAGTATACATGATACATGACATTTCAAGTATGTTTAATGTCAATCATATCTGGAAAATATTGAATTTTTTTATTTTGATGACTTAAAATTCCCTATGTGCAAAATATTGCACACTATGCAACAATTATCATGATACTTATATTTCATAAAATCTTCTGGATTTTTTCCTATCCTTGTTGGCAAATATGCATATATCTTCTTAAATCTTTTAATATCTTCGGTAATTTGGTTCCGAATAATCTTAATCACAAGACTGAATTAACTATCATTGTGAGATTTTAAATTCAATTTTCTGTGCAAAAATTTCATCTGTTATACTTGTGTATCAGGAAATCTACATGTTTAGTCTTTACCCTTGGAAATTTTGATTTGTACCTGGCGAATATATGTGTGTGTGATCTTATTTTATGAGTTCTATTTACTTGCAGCGAGTAAATAGAGCTCATAAAATAAGTTCAAAATGTAGAGAAAACATGTAAAAATTACAGAATAATGAAAAAAGGGAAAAAGAAAAATAATAACAATGAAAATCCGGAAAATAAACGCAATAATCTTTTCATCAGCTCACACGATTATATCCGCATATAGGAATGCTTTCTAATATTGCATCAATATAGCCAAAGCAAAATATATCAATACAATAGTGTGAGGAGCACTCACAAAAAATATAATGTATTTAAATACCATTTTTAATCAAATGAATAGAATTAAAAGAATATGTAGTAATGTTTATTTATCCAAAAAACAAATAGACAAACTCTTTCAAAATTTGATTTAAAATTTTTTTTAAAGAAAACAATGGATACCCAACTGAAGTAATTAAATTCTATATTAAATCATTGAGTTAAATATATATTATTGTAAATACATTTATTAAAAAAACTTCTTTGTTAATTTATATAATTTTTACCATGTGCAAATCTGTGGCTAAAATTATGTGTAAAACAGGCAATTCGTGTTTCTTTCTCTTTTCTATTTTTTTCCCCTTAAATAAAAGTTACTTTTCTAAAATTATTAATGGTCAACTTCTTTAAATTGTCCAGTATAATATTACCTTTCAGACATCCATTATCAGGCCCGTCCTTGGTAACTAACAAATCAAACGCACTTTAGTACTGCAGTAAGAACGCACTATAAAACAATTCCCCTCAACTTGCGCTTCTATTTTCATATTTTGTAATCTGGCAATCTTGTTATAAAAATATTTTAAATCATTCTTGAAAAAATTTCCTTTCATTTAGTTCATTTGAATTCGCCACTCGCTTTGTAGATTTTGTTTTATGTTTTATTCTGTTTTTTTTTCTGTTTTTACATGATATTTTTACTTATTGTGTTCTGTTTTATTTGATGTGGAAAAAAATTTTTGAGTGCTCCTTACACACTATTGCATTGATATATTTTGCTTTATCTATATTGTTACAATATTAGAAAGCACTCCTTTTTGCAGATATAATCATGTGAGCTGATGAAAAGATTATATTTTTTAATTTCGAGTTTTTTTCCTTAGTTTTTTCTTATTTTTTTTAATTTTTATTATTATTTTTCTTTTTCCCTTTTTTTGATTGTTCTGTAATTTTTTCCATGTTTTCTCTAAATTTTGAACATTTTTCAAAACTCTTTTAGTTTTTTTAAGTCTACTTTTAAGTGCAGACAAACTTTGTATTGGTCTACATATATTTTTCTAAGAAAATATTCTAATTATTATAAGATTGTATTAGTAATTAATCTGTAGAATTGTGTCTCTTGGAATACCTGATTCTGTTATTTCTTGTGGCTCTAGCAGCAAATTTATCTGTTTCTACATTTCATTATCTATGTATTAGAATATATTTCTTTTTCTCTCTTAGATAACGTTTAGTAATATGTCTGGAAAGTTTGATCTAGATGTAACAACTTTTCAAATGGCAGTTCTCTTTGCGTGGAATCAAAGGCCTTTGGACAAAATTTCATTTGAAAATCTAAGACTTGCAACAGAATTACCAGATGCAGAATTGAGAAGAACACTATGGGTACACTTTCAATACTCTCCTGAAAAATGAAACACTATTTCTATAATCTTTGTTTAAAAAGACTTTTATTTCTTTCTTTTGCGAAATAAAAAGATTTTGACTGTTACTAAATTATTTCCAACACATTAGCATAATATTATAATTTCCAATTACAACTTCAGGTATCAGGATTGCCATAAAACAGGAAATGTGACTCAAAAAGTCAAGGAAAATAAATTAATTTGAGTTTGAGGTAACAAAAAGTCCTAATTGTTAATTTTCAACTAGATAAGCACTATGTAATATATTTTAAGATATAACTGCTAATTTAACATGCAACTGACTCCAGAGGGTCGTGGAATTATTAAGAGTTGTTTATTTCTCCAAACTGCTTTAATTACTACTTCAAATCTCCGAAACATCTATTTGTATTTTGCAATTACAACTAATGTTTACCTTTGCGTGTATGAATGAATCTCAATAAACAACAACAGATACATTCAACTACAGCCAAAGTGAATGTGACAGAAGCTAGCGTTAAGAGGATGCAGTATCGAGAAAAGAAATCCGATCAGTTAACTCTGGCACTTGAGGCGTTGCTTTTAGGGAGGGATGATTGGTAGATTAATCTCTAGAGCTTCAGATTCTCAATCACTCTGCCATGACACTTTTTTGTGCCCCCAAATTTTAGAGATGATATAGTAAAAATTATAATCTTTTTTTTTTTATGAGTGAAGTTTAAATGAAAGAAAAGTATTTATATATTTTTTCCACGCTTTAACGGCATGAACATCTTTGACAGTGACACCTTTCTTTTTGTTTCAAGTATAAAATTATATTAAACAGAGTTACAAAATTAAACAAAAATCATAGTCTTCTGCGATAGCTACTAAGTGAGGCAATTTGTTATCATTTTTAAAATGATAACAAATTTATTAAAATTATTTACTTGATATATATTATTACTCTTTTATGTGATATATTTCTTTTGTCTTTACTTAATTTTTTTCTTTGTATATTATATTTTTAAATTGAAATAAAATATGCAATATAATATGTAAATTATAACTATTAATTTTTTGGGGTTCACTGTCTATTTTAACCATGGCACTGCTAGTTACTGCAATATTAGACTGGAATTTTTTTTTTAAATATGTCTGAAAAATCTGGAAAAGTCAAGGAATTTTGTTCTTTTATTTGAATGGCAAACCTGTTTTAAATTCTCTGTTTCGTCTATCGATAGATAGTATTATTATAAATGTACGTAGATGTATTAATAGGTGGATAAAAGGGTAAAAGAATTCATGTTTTTAATAGAGACCCTGCTTTTAGTGAAAAGAGATCCAGAATTCTAAGGACCTGTTGTTTTCAAAATCTAGCAGAGTCACTATTATTGTTTTCTTTCCTTTTTTTTTTACTTCAAAAAAATTCCCTATTATTATTCTGCTTTTATTACTTTTGATGTCTATTAAATTTATTTTCAATATTATTGCTCTATTAAATTTATTTTCAATCTAAGTTCAGTGACATTATATTTTATGCTTTTTTTCTTTCTTAAAACAGTCATTGGTTGCCTTTCCAAAATTAAAACTACAAGTCTTACTGAATGTGACCAGCACAGGGTCTGAAGCCAGGTCACCCAAAGATTTTGACGACAGCACTTTATTTTGGGTCAATCAAGAATTTTCACTCATGTAAGCACATTTACTTTTTACACTTCCATTTAAATGTGATATTTCTCTTAATAGTGCACCCCGTGGCAGAATCGCTGTGACATTGTCCAGAATATTACAGAGTTCTTACATAAAGAATTTTCCTTTAGGAAGTAGAGAATTTTGGGTTCTCAGATGTAGTAAAGGATTATGGTTTTCTGCAGAAATATTTTTATCTCTAAAATTATAATTAAAAGATGCCTTTTTTGCACATCGGAGGGGAAAGAAATGATCGTGATTTATCTATTCTTATTTGAGAAGAATGAAAAATATAAAATAATAAAATTTAAAAAAAATTCTGTAGAAATGTGGAAAGATTATTTATTTTTCTCCAGAAATCATTATTTGACACTCTCATTTTTCTCCGATGTTCTCGTTATTCCATGTGGTATATTTAATTCGCACAATTTAGCGATCAATCTTTTTTTCAGTAGTCACTGCTACAAATTACAAGATTTTTTTTTTTTGATATGATGATGTGCGAAAAAGGAAATAATTAGTGTGTTTTCGTGTTTAGTAAAATGTGAGAATCTCGCCCAAGATATTAGAATTTCAAAAAAATTGCATATTCATTTTAAAATTAAATGCAATTTTATTTTATTCTTATAGGTTTTTTTTGTAAACACAATCAGGGTTGCCACTCCACAGGGAAAACCTGGAAAATGCAGAGGATTTAAAAATCACCTAAAATAACCGAGAAAATGCAGGGAACTTGGATTTTTTCTTTATAAACTGGGAAAATACAGGGATTTTTGTCTTTTAAAAAATGGTGACCACTCAAAGCGACCACTATGGGATATTTAACCATAATATTTCAGCTCTACTAAACTATTTCATTTACTATAGCATTATTTAAATATGTTCAGCTGTTTTTCCAGCAATTAAATTTAATAAATATAGTTAGCCCAATATAGCTGACACAAGAACACAGTAATTGTTATTTCCTCTTAATATATTGTCTGTATTATGTACAGGGAATTTTTTTTCCAGATTTGAGTGGCAACCCTGACAATTACTTTAAATTTAGTTAATACCATGTATATTAGTTATTACTAAAAGCATCTTGCAGAAATATATTAGTGCTAGAGAGGTTCGTCGTAGAAAGCCCAAATAAATTCTGCCATAGTGGTAGTGCAGCTTTTTTCCCCCATCAATCAGTAAAATGCTCAAATTATTTTTAGTGTGTTTTTTTTTTAAAAATCATGCATTTTTATGTATTTTAAAATTACATGGCAGTGCATTCTGGAAAAAAATGACGAAAACATAGGGAAATGAAACGAACTGCCTTATGAAGATGGATGCTGCAATGTAACAATATTTTTAAGCATTTAAACTGTTGTAAATATATGTTAAAACACTGTGCTATATTTTGTTAGTTTTTAATCTTAAAACCCTACATAGGGTTTATTTGCTTTTGTTGTTCAATTTTATTTATTTTTATTTTAGAAAAAATAACAAACCTCAGAAAAGAGGGAAAGTAAACCTAATTGGTAGGCTTCAACTCTCTACAGAAAAAAGCAAAGAAGAAGATAACGAAAGCATTGTTCAGCTGCGAATACTTAGAACTCAGGTTTGTAAAATTTCATCTTTTAATTTAATTTATTTCTTCCTTTGCTTTTAAGAGGTCATATAGTCCAAAGAAAAAACAATAACTATACCCCCATTGGAGAAACAAGGCGACATTGTCGCAGAACATTACATGGTTATTGCAGAAAGATTTTTCTCTTGAAATTTTAAAAAAAAATCCTTTTCTTTTCTACAAAAATTTACACATAATATTTGAATCATGCATTAATCACTTTTTTTACATGCTCAATTTATGACGATAGTATCGTAAATCAATGTAATGTTTCGATTGTATTTTTGGCACGTGACATTTCAAGCAATATGAAAAATTCTAATTGTGCTTTATTACTTTGAATCAATAATTCTATAGAATTTTTCGCATTTATTGCTATTGATTTCACCGTTGCTTTTAAATTCGATATTCTATATGCGATATTATTTATTGCAACAACCTAATCTTGAAATGAAAAACTCATTTGGAGTCCGATTCACATGATTTCGTCGTCGATCTTTATTTTGGCAATTTCATGATTTTTTATTATTTTTTTATTGTGGTGATTATTTACAAAATGGGAAGAAGGAAATAATCCCCCCCCCCATCGAACAAAATTCTAGAATATCACCCATAATATTAGAATAAAAAATTATTACATGTTCAATTTTAAAAAATTATACAGCTTTTTTGTAAACACGGCGCTAATAAAGGTAGCTAAAATAATAAAAGTAGCTAAACTACAAAGCTGAGCAAGAATAAATAAACAGGGCTCTGACAGGCGAGAGAAAATTTGGAATTGTCAGAGAATTTCACTCTAAAAAGCAGTGAACGTTTAAAGTTTTTACAAAAATATTTTTTTAAAATTCCCTATATTCATACCCGTAAAACAACCAGTCTTAAATGTGTCAATAACAGTAATTAATTATTGAAATTCAAGTAAAGTAATTATAACATCTATTACATTTATTTTATAGAATTCCACTTTTTAGTGAAACTTTTCCATGTTCCCATTCTCATACTATAATATGTTTTTGCTCTCAAAATCTAGTATCTGACATTGCAAAGTTTTCTGGTGAAAAATTGCATGGTATATATAAAATATGGTATGGATTTTCATTGAAATTTACCTTCTAAATAATTTCATGACAGCCAATACAACAAAGAATTCATAACAAATGCAATAGATTTATATCTGGTATCAAAAAAATGGGCTAAAAACAAGTGCGAGATTTTTATTTTACCGTAAATGAAAGAAAAAAAAATAAATCAAAAGCTAAGTTAATGTTTATATAGGCTTAATAAATAACACAAGGGTAATTATCGGCATCTTGTAGGGGTTAATATTTTTCTTTCATTTTTAACAGCCATCGAAATTTTATTGCAAGATACAAAACAAAAATGTTTTCTCAGCATAAAGTAGGCACCTTTGGAAAATAAATAATTTGGAAAATATTATTATTATTTTATTTATTTTATTATTTATTTTTTGCTCCATTCTTCTACACATAACTTCATTTGCTCTGTTTTCGCCCTCCTTACTGCAGAACATCAGCAACTGTGCCCTCCTTAATCTTGAGCAGAGCTTTTTAACTGCTAATCATGCTAACCATCTTTCCGAAAAGATTTACCTTCCAAATCTCTTGAGACTTGATTTAGATAATCTGAATAAATTGTGCATTATTAAATTTATTATTTTTGTTATTTGGATGCAGTTTTACATTAAATTTATTAAATGTAATTTTAGCAATGATGACCCAAACATTTTTAAAGTTATCACTTTTGTTTGTAAATGTGTCTAATTTCTATACCTAATTATTTTGTCAGGATGATCATTCTGATTCATTAATTCAGTTTTGAAAACATTATGAAATTAAGAAATAGTGATAATAAAAAAAAACAGTCTAAAATATAAAGCTGAGCAAGAATTATTTTTTTTTAAAAATGTACTAGCAACTAGGCATTACAACAAATGTGAAAATATTTATATCTGATGGCATTGTGAAAGAAACAGCTTATTGCGATTACGCATGAAGCTTAACAGGTGTGAAAATTTGCATGTTGTGCAAATAAAATATAAGTTCTGTTATCGACTACACAGGAAGTGCAATGACCGTGCTGACTCAGCAGTAAAGGACGAACAGAAAGTTAATGTTCTTTTTGAAGAGAAAAATGAAATTTTTGCCAGACAAAATATATCCAATTTATTTATGTTAAAATTGAGAAAAAAAAATCCTTTAATTTAAGAAAAATCACTTAAACATAAATTAACATAATCACTTTAACATAAATTAAACTCAAACAGTTATAAAATTTAAAAAAAAGGCTATAAAGAAAATATCCAAATAAAAGACATTACACAAAGTGTAACTATGGCAGTGAGCTCAGGGGCAAAATTTTTTCGGGCTTTTTGCGACAAAACTCTAGCACTAATATCTTTCTGCAATTTACTTTCAATAATAACAAAGATATACTATGTTACGAATTTAAAGTAACAAAATACTGTGCTTACAAAAAGATAAAAACATGGAAATTATTTTTATTCAATATGCAATATTTTTTTATTCTAAGATTATGGGTGATGATGTTCTCACATTTTGTTGAAAAACGTACTAATATCCTGTATCGCATTTTGTAAATTGTCGTCAAATTAAAAATCCTGAAATCCGCAGGGTTCATACAGGCTCCTTATACTCCTTGGAAATAAAAAAGTCTCCAAGGAGTACTTGGAACTACTTAGATTTCTAAATTAGTCCTTAGAAACTTAGATTATTGCGTTGCATAGATAAACTTACTAAGTCCGCTGATGAATTTGCTGTCAAAATCTAATAATTTAAGAAAAATTTTAAAAGAAGAAAAAAAAATTAATTGCAAGAGTTAGATTAAAAAAAATAACTGCAAATAATTTTAATTCTGCATGTTACAAGCAAACTTAATTAATGATTTACTATGACTTTTTTTTTGTATAAAATGCCCTAAATTTTCTTATGTATTAAAATTTAAAAATATAAGATTGGTAGGTTTTTATGTTAATCTTTAACATCTATACTTTAACAAGGTTTATTAAAATATTTGAAACTGGAAAATGTATTTAGGTGGGAAAGTGATAACTTTATTTTTCTTGATGAAGTTTCACAAAGTCAAAATTTATATCAAAAGGGTTAGAAAAAAATATCTTATGCAAAATATATATTTTTGCAAGTTCTTTATAATAATTGCTTTTTAATTTGAAAAAAAACTGTCTCGTTATCTTTTACACAAAGTTTTTAAATTTTGGACTCCTTGGATTTCTTCTTCTGACCTCTGTATGAACCATGAATCCGTCACAGTAATTACCAAAAAACAGGTCGACTACGAAGTCCTGCGATTCTGCGAAAAGGGGTTACTCAAATGTGTGTTTCATTTCAAAAATTTATTGTTGTGATAAATAATATCGGATTTTAAGAATTATATGGCAATCAAAAGCAATAATTGCTATAAAAAAATGGTAGAATCGCTGCCTTAAAAAGTATATATTCCAATGCACAATTTGAATTTCCCATTTCGTCAAAAGTATATTAGGATAATTAAAAATCATGTAAAAATCAATAAATGGCGAAAATACAATAGAAACACTACATGTATTTACGACATAAATTGAATGCGACAGAAGTTATTTAAATGCGCAATTCAAGTTTTACTTGTAAATTTCTGCAGAAAAGATAGCCAAATATTTTCTTCCCAAAAGAAAAATCTTTCTGCAAGAACTCTGTAGCGTTCTGCGACAATATCGCCTCGATTCTGCCCTAGGCACAGTGAGATATCTTTGCTTAGGTTGCTGATAAAAATTCAGTTTTTATAAGAAAAATTATTTTGGAACTGAAGTCATTATATACTTCAGCCATTTTTAGTGAATAAATCCAAGAAAAGGTCCTGAATGCAGGTCTACCTGAATGCAACAAATCTTGTCGCTTTTAGGCACTCTGACATTAAGTACATGATTTGAAAAATGAAAATCAGCTTTACAGCAAATAATATAAAATGATTGTATTTCCATAATTGATAATAATAAATATTTAGAATAATAGTAGGTTTTTTCTCAATAATTTATAGTTACCATATATTTTAAATATATACTATTAAATTGCAGAAATATTCTTTCAGTAATTTGTAGTGAAAATTTTTTATCCAAGAAGACGCATAATTTTTTTCCGCTTGCCCTCCGTATTTTTGCCGTGCTTGAGATGTTTAATTGAAATTATTAAACCCTTTATATTAGAGTGAGAAATATTTAATAAAATGAAAACAATTTCTTAAATACTTAAATTTAAAAAGAAAAAAGATGTCTGACTGAAAGTATTGTGGTTTTTGTCTTCAATATTTTTGTTCCTTTTTCCCATTTTTCAGTATAGCTCTTTACAAGGGACATGTAATATACCATTACATGTCCCTTGTAATGCTATATTACATAAACATATACTTGCTGTTTAGAAATGAAGCACTCATTTGTAGTTCGCAGTTTAAATATTATTTTTAAACTGCTGTGTTTTAATAGCATTTGTGAGCATAATAATAATTATATGTGCACTCATTTTATATGAACTAAGATTAAGTTTTGTACTAAAAAGCATTTTTAATATGCAATAGTATAAAAATATTAGCAGTTTAAATCTGTAAAATTTCAGTATTTGATTTATTATGCTTTAAATCCTAATTTTGTTTAAAATATATTTTCTTTTTTTTTTCATAAATATGCTGTTAAATTAATTTCCTTGTGTTTGCAGGAAGCCATTGTGAAAATCATGAAGATGCGTAAGAGGATTACTAATGCTCAATTACAGACAGAACTTGTTGAAATTCTTAAGAATATGTTTTTACCTTCCAAAAAGATGATAAAAGAACAAATTGAGTGGTTAATAGAACACAAATATATGAAAAGGGACGAAGAAAATATTAATGTTTTCATTTATCAAGCATAATTCTGTTGTAGAAATATTTATATTTATAAACAATTTTTATTAGGATTTCATCTTTTGGCTGAAGCAAACTGATTAGTTAAAACATCCAACAACTTTTTTTCATTTTGTGTGTCTGAAGCCTCTTCTCTTCATCTTTAGGTTTGTTTTCTCCTTCAGAAATATTTGTAATAAAAGAAAAAAATTTGAAAATATTTTTAAATAAATGGCAAAAAATAAATTCTAGCCTAACTCATACTTTTTAACTTTCTCAAACAGAAGTATTTTAAGGCGATATTGTTATTTCTCTTGTGTTCCTCTGATTGTTCGACTGATTCGTTCAAACACATCTGTTGACTCCCATTCTTTCTCAATATTGTACAGTCATGATTTGGCTCAAACCTTTTTCATTAACCGCTTCCATTACCGATTTTTTTGAATTAAAAAAAAAATGCAAAAAATCAACATTTTTTTATTTATTTCATTGATAAATACAAGGAACTTAAATGAAACCTAATACACAAGTCTTAAGTTGAAATTTTAATTTTTTTATGTATAACAAAAGCATTTAATTTACCATCAGTTTACTATCCTGAGTTATTGAGGGGAAAAAAATTTAAATATGAGTCTTTGTAAGATAGTTTTTAAAACAAGGAACAACACAAAGTGACAGTTTCCAAACACCAGTGAAATGATACGCCATTATTTTATCCTTTTTTCTATGTAAATTCAGCAACCATCCGTGTATAAAATAGCACAAAACACTTGTGCAGTCCCACAATCCAACAGCAAAACTCGGCAAACTTCCAATCACAGAATATTATTATTATTATAGATTGCACGGCAGGTTATTATTTGCTTCCTGCCGAGTAAAAAGGTGATAAAACAAACGGTAGTGACAGACATATTCTGCTACGCCCGAGTTATCTCGGGATGATAAATATTTGCAATATATACATACCCGGGTTAACTCGGGATTATCAGTGAAGCGGTTAAGAAATGTAAATATGTATTTTATAATTAACTTTGACCTTCTCTCAGTTTCTTCATGCAATCAAACAGGTTTTGATATAATTAATCTCAACTTCCACTTGAATCATTTTTCAAACTTTAAAAAAAAATTTGTATTTCTCTCAAAATGTTTATTAAGGAACAATTACACTATATACTTTATTTTTGACTTGAAATAATTTATTTTTAGACAATGTAGATGATGAATTTCTATAAAATACGGAGTTTGATTATCCTATCTAAGTTTGCTTCTAATTACTTCGTCATTATTCTATGCTTCAGAGATCTACTCTACCTGCTTTACATAGTTTAAAAAGTTGCCCTTTCAGATGTTTGTATTTCATTATTTGAGAGTTATGTTTAATGATGTGTTATATAAACTTATGTAGTTACGTTTATGCTAACTCAGTGTTTCCCAACCTTTTTTGTACCATGCCCCACCTAAGCCTTTCTAAAATTCTTATGCCCCCCTATGCAACATATACATAATTTTTAATATTAAAAAATCGAATTGTTCACTTAAGAAACTTAGGAAATTGTTAGCGAAACAAAGTAAGTAAATTTTCCGAACATATAATGAAAAACTAAAATTCAAATTCGAAATAATTTTAATAAAGATTTTTCTATAATAATTTAANTAACTGAAAGTTACAACACATAATATTTATTGACTGCAATTATTTAAGAATTTGCTTTTTTCCTTCGATTTTGTCATCGAAATCACGCATTGCATTTAAATGGCACCGAGCAAAAGGTTTAAACTCATGTCGAGTTCATTTTTGAATTGCCCCCCTTTACAATCAAATTGCCCACCGGTGGGGCGTGGGCCCCACGTTGGGAAACACTGTGCTAACTTATACCTTAAGAAACAGTTGCCAACTATATTGGATTTTACTAGTAAAAAGTGTTCTCTTGGTGTGAAAATTCCCAATTATTAAGAAATTTTCTGAAAAAAGTATCAAAATAGATTTTATGTAGTTGAATGCTTGCTTAAATAAGCATTAATGCTAAATAATGAAGTAAGCCTTTTTTTTCTGGGATCTGTCTAGGTCTTTTTTTTTTTAAGCAGTACCTATTTTGTGAAAATTTAAAATTATATTAAAAAATCAAAATAAAAATATGGTGAAGTAAGAAAATGTTTTCAAAAATTTTCACTATAAAATAAAAATCATTTATGACTTGTAAATTTCTATATATATTTTCCCACATATTCAAAAACAGTTTTACTATTGTAAAATTCATAAAACTCTAATAATATTAAACATTCTAAAATTGTGAGTTTTTTTTTTAATGTAGAACTTTTATACTAATTTAAGAATGTTACGAATATCTAAAATGAAGTCAATATCTATTACTAGATGATATAACATAATAACAATTTATTGCAGTGCGTTTGATTTGATTCATAAATGAAAAATATTGCAGTCACGAATGAGTATGATTTTTATATTTTATTGATTATAAACTCCTGAAATTCCCTGTAAAATTTATATCTAATGAAATCTACTGAATTTCTTGTTCTTCTTATGTTGGCAGCTTTTTAACTTGCAAAATCAATGGTGATTTATATGTTTCAGTTTATTGTGTACCCAATCTATGTACTTTGTCCTCCCCAGGATGCATACATATTTTCTGTGTTTGTAAAAATGTACAGCATGCACAAAAAGCACTGCATGCTCTGAATCACTTTTGATCTAATTTTTGGATTCTTTTGTTTTAAGATACAATCCCCATGGCAGAATTGAGACGACATTGTTGCAGAATGTTACCGAGAATGTTTTTTTTTTCTGCAAAATTTTTTTCAGAAATTTATTTTTTTGTGTATCAAAGAGGAAGGAAATAATCGTGGTTTTTTGTTTTCATTTCGGATTTTTTTTTTAAAAAAGTCCGTAATGACTGGCTTCAGCTAGAATTTCATATTAATAATGTTAAAAAAAAAAAACTGCGAAAGTTTGAAAGATAGTTTGCTCTAGAAATGATTGTTCTTTCTTTCATTTTCTTTTTTTTTCTTTAACGAGTTCTCTCTCATTTATTTTTCTTATTTGAGTAACTTTTTTTTTAAAGAGTCTTATTCGATTGATTTTGTCGTCTATCTTTAGTTCGGAGTTACTGCATGAATTTTACGATTTTTAATTTATTTAAGAATTTTAATTTTTGTAATGATTAGTTAATTTTTTTCCCGAATAGAAAATGAGATAAAGTGCCTATAATATTAGAATTTAAATAATGTTACTCTTGCAATTAAAATTTTTACACGTTTTATTCTGTACTTTCTTCTGTAAACACAAATGTTACTTTAAATTAGTAATTGTTATAATTAAAAGTATCTTTAAAAAAATATTCATGCTAGGGAAGGTTGTCGCAGAAAGCCTGAAAAATTCTGTCACAGGGGATGCAATCTACAGTATTTGGAAAAGTATGCTAGTGCAAGCAATAAATTAAGTTACATCAAAACACAATTTAACAGGAATAAACATATATGTATATATATATTACCCTTTTTGAGTTTTAATCCTCAAAATATTGAGGGTCGTTTCATACAGTACCGAAAGTTAAGTCAGGATAGCAGTTAAAAGTTTAAGCTCTTTAATGTTAATTCAATTTATTTTCTTTTTGCCATATCTTAATGGTCTAATCAAAATACCTTTTCACCCATTTATAAAATTTGTTACGATAATTTAATTTGAAGATTACTAAGCTGTTTATAATTTAATTTAATTTGCAATCTAATCATCATTAGATTGTAAATTATAAATATTTTGTGAATTAATTAGGAATATTATGCTATGTTTTAAAAATTCAAGTTAAATTGGGTGATTAATTTTTGAACTGTAAAAATTCAAAAATAAAGCTTTTTTCAATTTTTATTTCTCATTAACTATTTTTAAATCTTGCCATTTAGAATGAGGACAGTTCAAAAGTTGCTCTTTTTCATAATTAAAATCTTAATTTGTAAAATTTTCTAAGTTATGCATTGAGGTAACTTGGTGTTAAATATCTTATGTTTAGGCCAAAAAAAAAATTATCCTGTTTTGTGTCTGATTTTAAATCTTTCCTTCATTTATTGTACATAAATACTCAAGCATTTGGTTTAAAGCTATTCAGGAATGTTTTTTTTTTCTATCCTTGCACGCTATTTATTAGCATTAATCAAAGCAGTCTGCATCAGTCATTCTTTTTAAATGTCACCTGGTACTGATGGATACGATACCTGACTCCAAGTCAATGAAATTCTACACTGTTATAAATAAAATTTAAAAAGAAATTTTAATGTTGTACACTGATTATGTATTTTTAAAACTATTTGCCTGTGCTTTCCAAGTTTTCTAATTATAGTAGATTTCTTTTGATCATGGGAATTCTTAAGTTTGGCGTGAAACAATTTATTTTTTAAATCCTGCTACATTTTGTTTGTTTCTACTTAAAGTGCATAACTTTATCTTTTTATTCCTTATGAGTTAATGAATGATTCCATTGTCTGTATCAATTTTTTTTAATGTTTTCATATTGTATTAAATATAGGATCCTTTAAATTAAACTGTACCTATGTCCTTGTGGAATATTGTGTACCTTAATTTACAAAATTAAAATTATTTTCTTTTCATTTGTTTAAACTATTAATGACATTGAAGTTCTTGTGTTTTAAAAAAAAACTGTCCCATTCTACCTTAAGCATAATATTAGCTGTTTCTTTTCAAAGATTTTTATTCATGTAAATTTACTATATTTTTTATTTAAATTTTGCTGCTGAATTTTGGAGCTGTAAAATCTTGCATCTCTAACATACCTGTTTCAACAAAATATTACAATTTTAGAATTAAATAAACTACAAAGAAATATTGCAGTACATTTCAAATTATAATTCATTAAAAAAATCCATTTACTGCTCTTCCACTTTGGTATAACCCATTAAAAATTTTCATCTAAATTAAATGTGTGCATTGATTATGAAAAAAATTATTTCATTCATTTTTAGTTACATTTTTTTTTTCGTTGTCACTCAAGATATAGATAATTTTCAAGCTGAATCTGCTGATTTACTTGCAAATGTACATTACAGATTTTTTTTTTATGTGAAAATACAGATTTC